TTACATTAATTTATATTAATTATTAACTGATCGACATTAACATAATTAAACCATATAAACTGATATAAAAATCAAAAGCTCCTTTACTATATAAATGATAAAAAGAAGTCATTAATTATTTTTTAATACTCGATCCACTTACGCGTTGATGTTCTCCATCATTTTGAACTGACCACCACCGGTGTTGACCTTCGGGATAGCGCCGGGAGAAAGTTTGTTCATCAGCGCGCAGAGGACTTGTCCGTCCCTAATGACGTCCTCGAAGGCTTCACCGGCGGGGAACTTGTTGCCCAAAACTGACTCGATCCATTCCTGGGCCTCGCGTTCCTGTTGCGGGTCACGCTTTCCAGCGAGCTGTAATAAAAATCGAGAATATTGAAAAATCATTTTGACACTGAGATCTAATCTGAATAGATGAGCCCGCGACACTTTTAAGATTCCAATAGTGGAATGTATCACCAAAAAACAAAAAAAAAATTCACGATTCACATCAGGTTTCTTAAGACACTCGGATGTATAACGATGCACAGAACCTCGTGTTCATACCTTGGCGCGCACTTGACGTTCGAGAGCCATGCTTGTATCCTGTCGTGTATCTTGGAGAGGACTAAAGTGCTTGCTCGGAGGGTCGGTTCCTCTTATACCCGAAAATGGTGGCGGCAACCGCGGCGGCCCACACGCTCCGGGGAGGAAGAAGCTGTCCAATCTCTGTATCGGAAAAGACGACGCGCCGCACACGTTTCGTCTTTGAGACGTAACTACATGTGGAAGTGCGTGCTTTCCACGATTTTCGACGAGCTAATATTAGCTGGTTACTCAGTTGGACAGGAGGTAACACGTAGGATCTCCAAAATCGCTGCTGCCAAGCCGTGTCTCCATCGAGAAACGAGAATTCGTTCCATACGACCTCAGATTTTCATTTTAAATTAAAAAAAAAAAAAAATATTTTGTCAAGCTTCAAGAGGTTTTTCAAAAAAATAGATCGAATATTTTGTTCTTTTTTTAATTTTTGGGTACGTCGTTTGGTTCCCTTCGGTAGAAAGTGGGTGGTGATGGATCGGTCTGACTAATTCTAGACTATTCTCCTTCCGCCTTTACTCCGTTTCCTCGATGCAGTAATTTGAAACTATTTCAAAAACTTTCCTCGGTAGTCGTTACCCAGCGATGATGAAGGACAAATGATCCCGCGAGTCACTAAAGGCTGTTCGGAATGTTCGAGAGAAAGAATGTTCGATTGCGCAAAAGTTTTCTCTTTAAATAACTTGTATATGGGTCGAGTTATTATTATTTCGTTGATCCACTTTTTGGATTTGTGGGAAAAAACAAGAATATGGAAGATTCACTGGCGGGATCATTGGCTATTGACTCAGATTTAAATATAATCGCGCGCCTCTCTCGTATTTCCGCGCGGAATCTTAGAATTATTCTAAATATTACGAATGCCATCGAGTGATCCGTTGTTCTTCTCAACAAACGCTGCAGTGCGGCATTGCTTCCAATATTAGCTTAAAATTCAAACCAGAATCGGTTTTTTTTATCAGAAGAAACAAACCAAGTTGCTTCCTAAAAATCTAATAGTTCGAATAAAATTACAAGAAGGCCAGTTCGAACTGCTTGGATTTTTCAAGCTACCCGTTTCTTTCAAATTATAATAAATTACCTAATCTCATGTCACAATTTCTATACACTTGATTAAAATCTATTCGACAAAAATCCGTTCTACTATATCAATTATACTGATTTATTAAATAGTATTTTAATATTAAATCAATTCTGTAAAATTATAGAAAAAAGCCAGAACAGAAATTGGGTTCCTTCGAACTACGTGGCTTCTTCAAGCTGTTCAATTCTTTAAGATCGAATTTTATTTAAGCTGGGTATAACTCAGTTTTTCCAAGCACTCGTCCAGTTCTACGGTGCAAGTGCAATCGTGATCGTAGAAATTGATATAGAAACCTGTTTCGAGTTTGCAGCACGTTTTACGATGCAGTAAACGCGGGTTATCTGCATTTCAGAGGATATTATGATTAACTGATATTTTCCTGAGAATTCACGTTCCGAGGTATTCTATTATTATCCTCTATTTATAATTCATTCAATGTTAGCAGGAATTCGTGGTATCGAGGCAGTTATTGTCAAGTTCCTCAGTCATTTCTCATCATTCTATTCAAGGGCAGAAGTAATGACAAATTTCTGTTGTTTTAATTTTTAGTATAATTGATACTTTAATTAAAATAATAATTTTCCTATAAAGGAATTCGTGGTGCCAAGTCAGTTCTTCAAACTCTCTGACTTCTGTAATTCTCAATTTTTAGATCACGCAGTTGACATAAAATCCGTGGATAGGATTTATTCCAAGTCTTAATTAATGAAATTATTAAACAGTTGATAAAATATCGAATCCGATCATTTCCTTTCGCGGACACACGTGAAAAGAATCGAGTAACACAAAGTAGCATTGAGAACATACTAATAAATTTAATCTCCATTGAAAAGTCCGTGTAACTATTACAATAGCATAAGTAAAATGCAGAACATATAGTATAATCTAACGACGATACAAGTTTGTACAAATAAACGATGCATTCATTTGAATTTCATGAAACATCATTTTATGCACGTTCGGCTTCTTCTTTCGGCATCTGATTTTGAAGTTTCATTTCTATCACGTCGACAGTCGCGTCCCTAACTTTGCTCTTCTCGAGGCCAAGCTGTTGGATCTTTTCCATCTGTTCAGTGACGTAAGCTACCCTCCTGTCGAAATAATCCTTAGCATCAGCGATATTCTTTTCCGCGTAATAGCCAGTCCCGATATCGATCAATACGTTATTCGTTTCCACGAGTCTTCCAGCCACGTACATCGACCCAGTCAAAGGTACAAGAATCTCATTGCCTGGAACAAAAATCGTCAATGTCAATACAAGCCTCCTAACCTATAATAGAATACTAAATGAAAATTCGATTCCTGAAGAATCATTCAAATAACTTAATGACCGAATCCTACCTTCCATTGACGGGTTAATCTTCTCGAGGCACGATCCCGACTCCTGATATTTGCTCTGAGCGATTTTCAATGCTTGCAACGAGTCTTGAAACACGCCAAGTTCTTGATCCAATTGCTGTTTTAAAACCGTCAGTTGCTGAAGGTTCAACGTCGTTAAATCGACCTGCTGTAAATGCGGCGTGTCCGAGACAGTTCCTTCCGACATTTTCGTCGTTTTTATTATCGCAAATAGCGGCCGAAGAAAATACCGAAAAAGAGTCACGTTTCAAACGTGTGTGTATATTGTGTTTATGTTTGGGTGGAAATACTAGATTTCTATAGTGGACTCATATAGGGATGTGTATAGCGGCCATAGTGTTAGCGCCGTGCTACGCTCGAGCTCGGGGGCTCGGGGCTAGTAAACCGAATCTTTGCACGGCATCGTCGTTATTAATACGTAGCAAACCATAGCAAAGGGCGAGAAGTGTACAGAAACTTTAGGAAACGTACGTTCTTTTTTCTATATTATTCACTGACTTTTTTCTTATCCTCTTTATTAAATCTTGACGGAAGATCGTCAAGTTCGTCGAGCGTCCCGAGTGGGACCAAGTGTTGTGATCCTTTTTACTAAGCTGGCTGAATGCATTTTAATATCTTTTATAAATCACTGTGAACCGTTCATTGAATTCGTTTCATCGATTTCGCTCCCCTCGAAATTACGTGATTAATAGACAAAAATTAAGAGCAGATAGTCTCACTTTAGAGGTTATGTTTTTGTTTTCTCGTAAGAATTTCGTATTGAAACAATAATGTTTCTTCGTTTAGTATTACAGAATTGAACAGTCTTGTGTAACGATTTGATTTGAATTAAGTTTTTTAATAAGGAATCGTTTAACTCGATTTGATATCGTTAGGCTATTTCACTTTGTAATTGGGAATTCTTCAAGACTCGTGTGAATGAAACGGCTGTTGCTTTTTGTTCAGTAGGATAATTTGGTGAGGAACATGGCGCAAAGATTCCCTGTGCCTACCGCAGGGAATAATGGGCCTCCACCTCAGAGGTATGCTGCATCATCTGTGCCGCCAAACCTGAGGCAGTACTCGAATCCAAATTTTCCTGTGAGTACACATAGTTCGTAACTAGACTGCGGATTTTTATGCGAAATAAAACTATCCATCTAAACAATTTTAGAGAATCATTTGACACATTGAAATATTTAGCTTCAGATTTTCTAATAGTTTGATACTAGAATTTTTTTATAAACGCAATGAATCTGCAGTCTTTTGAATTCTAAGAACTGGCAGTGAATCGTTGGATTATTTCCGATCTGTAGATGCAACAAAGGTCTGGGTTCACTCCTCCTCCACAAATGGCAAACGCTGGTCCTGGACCAGGTAGCATAATAAGGGCGAGTCAGCCCTATACAAATATGCGACAAGGTCCGATGCCGACTCCACCGGTTGGTAAACGAAGCGCGGATCAACGAATCCCAATGTCCCAGCAGAAACCGTAAGATGCATGTTTTCATTTTACATCTGTGTTTGTTCTATTCACTTTACCCATTAATGCGTTATTCATTGTTTTCTTTACTTTCTGATCGAATTACTGTAATTTGAATCATTGATTTCTGATTATGATTTTCTATTTAAATATTGCGATGCATCAATTGATTTATATGTTCGATTTATCGTTCGTTTGATAATTCGTAATCATCAATGCGGCGACTCACCAGGAACATCATTGCATTTCACAAGCTTCAAAATTGGTTTTATTGATTTTTGAATCTATGATTTTTACATAAACTCATTTAGGTATTTTTGGAACAGTGATTTTTCACATTCCACATCGAAGAAGAAGAAAAAGCTGGCAGACAAGATACTGCCGCAGAAAGTGCGTGATTTAGTGCCCGAGTCGCAGGCCTACATGGACCTGCTCGCGTTCGAACGAAAATTAGACGCGACGATAATGAGAAAACGGTTAGACATACAGGAGGCGTTGAAGCGCCCGATGAAACAAAAAAGGAAGCTGCGTATATTCATATCGAACACGTTTTACCCGGCGAAAGAAGCCGGCGAGGGCGAGGAGGGATCCGTCGCGTCTTGGGAGCTCCGTGTCGAAGGAAGACTCCTGGACGACACGAAAAACGATCCCAACAAGGTAAAGGTTCAACGCGGGGGGGTGGGAGAGGTATAAAGAGAAACTAGGGCTCGGTTATCTACAAACGGTCGACTTTTAGGTAAAGAGAAAGTTCTCTTCGTTCTTCAAAAGTTTAGTTATTGAGTTGGATAAGGATTTGTACGGTCCTGATAATCACTTGGTCGAATGGCATCGCACGTTGACAACTCAAGAAACCGATGGTTTCCAAGTAAAGAGACCCGGCGATAAAAACGTTCGGTGCACTATTCTCTTGCTACTCGATTATCAACCCTTACAAGTAAATTTCTTCTAAGTTCTTTTGGCATTTGTCGAGGGTGTGCAAGAATATTCGTAACATCAGGTGGACTCGATTGTCGGTTGAAAATTCATTTAGGAGTCGATTAGGTTCGTAGGATCGTTTCCAGAAATTTTGCAGGACTCTGACAATCGCGTATTCTCGCACAGCCTGTTGAGGATCGAATAGGATTTGTCTTAAGATGAACGTTTCGATTGCAGTTTAAATTGGATCCTAGATTAGCGCGGCTTTTAGGTGTTCATACACAAACGCGGCCGGTTATAATATCCGCTTTGTGGCAGTACATAAAAACGCATAAGCTTCAGGATAGCCATGAGAGGGAATTCATAAATTGTGATAAATATCTGGAGCAGATATTCGCGTGTTCGAGGATGAAGTTCGCGGAGATACCTCAACGTTTGAATCCGCTTCTGCATCCACCGGATCCGATCGTGATTAATCACGTGATCAGCGTCGAAGGTATGACCTCCCCGCTCTCCTTGCGGTCTCCGATCGATCCCCGTCCTTCATCATCCGGACTTCCTCTGAAGCGAATCATCCAGTTTCTCAAATCAAGAACGTTTATTTAAATCACGATTCAGGCACGGAGACGAAACAGACGGCGTGTTACGACATAGATGTGGAAGTGGATGACACATTGAAGACTCAGATGAACAATTTCCTGCTGTCCACCGCGAGCCAGCAAGAAATTCAAAGTCTGGACAACAAAATCCACGAGACCGTCGAGACGATCAATCAGTTGAAGACGAACCGGGAGTTCTTCCTGAGTTTTGCCAAAGACCCGCAACAGTTCATCAACAAATGGATTATCTCGCAGACGAGGGACTTGAAGACGATGATCGACGTGGTAGGGAATCCCGAGGAGGAGCGCAGGGCGGAGTTTTATTACCAGCCGTGGGCGCAGGAGGCCGTGTGCCGGTACTTTTACACGAAGGTTCAACAGAAGCGAGCGGAGCTGGAGCAGGCGCTTGGTATCAGGAACTCTTAAGCGGTCACGATGACCGCTGTGTAAAGTATTTATATCAACTCCATTTCTTTTTCTTATTCTTGATCCAATTGGAAAATCGATTGTCGCCACGATTTTATCGCGACAAACGACGCTGCACCAGCGGCATAATTAAACGACGTTTTAAGAGGAATCAACGGATGTAAGTTTATTTACGCGTATTATTCAATCTTATTGACTTTACTCAAGCCCTGATCCATTTTCGGAATAGTCTTTTTGTACGAGGACACGCGCGTTACGGATCAAGCTAAACGCCTAAGCAGTAGTAGTAATTGTGACACCCGATAGGAATTCTGTATAATATAAATAAAATGAATCTTTGATATAATCTACCCCTTATTATTGAAGGATGTCAGGGAACGAGGTGAAAGATAAAGGCCGACTTTTACTGTCCGCTTCTTATTTTGTGCAAGTAAATACAATTTGTTACATAATCGGTACATGTTGATGTAAAATATGATTTCCTCGCGGAAACGGCAATACCGCCAGTACGAAACACAAGGAACACGAATCCTAAATTTTCTACTGTTTCTTTTTTCTTTTTTTATCCCATTTTACGTGAAAAAAGTCTTTCGTTTCATTACTTTAAAGATTACCATAAATATTGACATATCTTCTGAAATTACGTCAATTTGTTTTACTAGACACTTAAGCATTTCCCGTGAACGTTCGACCGAGGAATCGACAGTCTCATCGTTCCATCATTGCACACACAAGAATTCCTTAGCCATTTTAATCTATACGCGAAGCCGGAACGATTACAAAACGTTTCTCCGCGTGGCATTACACGAGCAAAAAGCACTTGACCCGACGCGACGTCTCTACATATACTGACAAAAAAAAAAAAAAAAAAAGACAAAGACAAAAGACCATTTTACCCGGTGATAAACTTTTCCAAAACTTCATAGTCGTTCATATTCATTCTCACGCGAAGCTTGCCTCGCGGCTATAATCACAAGTGCACCAATTGATTGTATCGTTTCCTAATACAATAAACTCTGATTAGAGTGTCTGACGCATTCGTTTTGATGACAAGCGTTTTAACTCCGGTCCCGTGATTTTCTTCAGCTCGAACGAACACGTCACAAGATTGCCGCTTCACGAGCTCTCAAGGTTTATTGTATCGGTATTCCAGAGCATCCCTAATCTTAATTACACATTCACATATATTTTTTTTTACCCTCGTACAAAGTATATCTTCGAATACACATAATCGGGTAACGAGAGTTCAACGGAATTTCGTTTTAATCGGACACAGTTATTATTATTATTATTATTCGTCTAAATTGCGGGTGTCTCGCCTGGGAGTCAGGGGAGTGTAGAAACACGATCTAAACACATTGTCTTATGCCCAAATTTACGAAGATCACACGAATCTCTGTACACTGAAATATATCTCGTAGATGAATCCATGATCTGCTAAGATATTTATATTAATTGTTTGGATAAAATGCATTGCACGCGGGGTCGATAATGCTTACAGAGATCGTACGCCTTTTCTACCGCGACACACGAGGTAGCCGTACATACTCGGGAGTCATTCTTTACACGATAATGTATTCTGTTATGCGGGTATTGCTTTCTTACATCTCTATTCGGCGTTGAAACGCGAAGTGTTTGTATTTGTTCGATGCTACAGACAAAATTTCTTCGTACATTACACGTCCGATGCTCGAGCCATTAATTAACATCCGTTTAATCAACCGGAGTTTAATGTACGTAGACTTTTTTTCTTAATCTCTTATCGTACTTATTCTTCGCGCTCGTGGGTTTGTTTCTTTTTAAGAGGAAGGTAAATTCCATTTGTGCAGTCTTTCCGTTTTGTTTTTATCTTCTAAGTAAACGACGCCGAGATACATCGGTGCAAGAGATTCTTCGAGTTACCCGGAAGTTCGATTAAGTTCACCTCCTTCCTCTTTTACAATTACTATGGATATATTTCGCACGTTAAATGACTGTCGAGTAAAGCGTATAAATGTCACCTATAATTGCGTCTCATATTTTTTTTTTTTTTTTTCTAAAACGAACGCCGGGATTTGTACTATAAATTATCATTCGATCGAAACGAGGCGTTGAGAACGGAGTGGGATCCTGCATCGATCCAGTTTCGTCATCCGAACGACCGCAACGCGTGTGTATAAATAGAAATTTAAAATCTTGAAATCAACAACACGATTATATATAAAAGTCAACAAAGTTCAATTAAAAGATCGCCGGACACATTAACGTATCATTCTAAATTTGGGAATGTCTCTTTATATATCTTCAACGGCATAAACTGTATATAACAATTAATCTAATGTGTTATTTAAAAAGCAAGATAACAGCGATATGACAAAGTTCACAGGGGCAGCTTCTTAATTTGCCTCGTTTTAATTCGATAAATTTTTGAATACTGATCGAACACCGGGGCAACAACGATAGGTGCCATTTCCACGTTTTAATTATTTACTAATGCCAGTGACATCGTCTGGAACACACACACATACACGCTTTAATTATATTATATCAGATTCATTTTTTTTTTTTTGTTCATTTTTCTTTTTTAATTCGTTCAAGCATTCGATGCGTAATTCTTTTTCATCCTCTAAAATAAATAAAAAATGAGAGAAGTTAATTCGTTACGCTAGAACACAAGGGATCATTGAATCGTTTTAACCCGGTCTCAGGATTAATTCGATGAACATAGGATATGCATTAGAAATTATTTGGTATAGTTACACAGTGTTTGGAAGTGTATTGTTCTTTTGTTTCTCGTGTGGTCTTTTTTTCCCCCCCTTCTTTTTTAGTTCGTTCTTGATTAAAGACAAATTATTGTTACGAACAATGGAGTAGAGAATGCATACAAAACTAGAGTGTGTAGAACAGATCGTTTTTTTTTTTGTTTCTTGTTTTCTACTTGTACATCACACTGGATGGATCGTACAGCAAGGCAGTTCCGAGTACTGTGAGGTTTTCATTTTTTTCACCATTTACTTTTTTACTCTGATATGCGATGCGCACATAAATAACTAACGAAGTTAGCCGTTGTACTGAGATAAGTCAGACACTAATGCTTACGATTTCAATATGAAATAATATTTATACGCTAGAATAAAAATGTGCAGAGTCATTTGATGCTTTCCTCGTTTTTTTTTTTTTCATTATTTTTTGTTCTTTTCCCCATTTTTCAAAGTTCGATCCGAGTATAATTGATAGATTGGCATTCATTGTTCGGCCGGTCGCGCGGCCCGCGTTTTAAGGCTTGAATTATGTCTCTGACTCGTTCCAAATCTGAGCAAAAATTAGTTCTTTCGTGTTGGTTTTACTTTGAACGCTTCGAGAAAGTCCTTGCAACACACGCGAGTGTTAATGAGAACGAGGGAGTTCTTCAAAGTGTTTTAGCTTTTTCGAGTAAATCGTTAATGAACTTCTGAAACATATAAACAGAGGCACGTGAGAGACGTGGACGGGTCGCGTTAGTGACGAACGGAAAAGGAATTACTAATTTACTACGACTTCGTTATCAATTAATTAAATTAGTCACTGTTTTAGGAAGTTAGCAACGAAAATCCAAAGATATCGTATTATCTACTCACGTTTACGTCGTGCGGTGGCTTCTTTGTATCAACGAGTAGTTCCTGTAATAGAGAAAACGAATCATCATTGGAATTCACGTTATCTCGAGCGTAGACAATGCGCAGTCACGTACTTGCAAAAATCTCCGTCTGTGATCGTCGCTGTCCATGTCTAGGAGCTCGTCTATGTCTATTTCAACCTCCCGATTTTTTCCACTTTCGTTCTGCGAATTAATAAAAAACAATAACGATATCGTATATACATTCAGAGCAGATTATGATTCTTATGAAACTTACTACGGATTCGTATAATTTCTCTAGCTCGTCGAAGAGCCACATCTCGACCGCGAGCCTTTTACGTATAAGGGACATCTGATGCGACCCGTATTTGGCCGTAAGGAATTTCTCCCTGCGCTCCTTCACTTCTCCCTTTTCACTGAAAGCCACATGCAAATTTGCACGCGCCGGACTGCGTTCAGCAGTAAGTACTCCGCCTCCTTCCATTATAAAACTACCTGACAATTATTTATTTATTT